CCCTGTCTGTCCCTATAAGGAGAAATGACTTCTCTTTCAGATGGCTGTCGCTTCAACCCTAAACTTTCTCCTATTTCCTTTGTGCTGCAGTGGCTCTCTGGCTCCCCCTGTCTTCCACACTCACCCTTGTATTTCGTTACAACAGCAGAGTTGACACTCAGCGGCTCGTGGAAAGTCACCCGCAGGCTGGAGCTGCTGCTGACAGACAGGCGGACATTGCTGGGAGCTTCGGGGGGGCCTGGGGAAGAGAGAAGAGATGGGGCAAGGAGAAAGATGTTAAAATACACAAGGAGGGGAAGGGAGTTTGGAAATTCAGTGGAAGATCAGTCCCCTAAAATCAGTGTGTTCACACTTGATCTGAAGAAATGTAATCATGATTGGTTTTTTAAAATATTTTTCCTAATGCTACCACTATCCATAAAAAAAAACAAAACAGCATTCCTAAACCTCCTATTTATTATATTATATTATTCTAGAAATGTTCTCTGTACTCTGCTCTTCATGTAAGAGCCACAGCGGCCAGGCAGCAGGCCAAGTGCAAACTGCATGCAAGACCTGGATCTAGTACTCATCAATTTGGATGTAAAATATAAAAATCAAAAAGCAATCCGAGAGTGTACAAGCAGTACGGTTAATGAATAAATTGTTCCAGTCTCATACGGTATTAAAAAGGATGATGATCCTGGTGAAAATCCAAAACACATTGACGTCTGCTGGAGGTGCCAGGATCCCCCAATTCGCTGGTACGATAAAAAGCTGTGAAGAGGTTAAAACAGAGTCCCGGCCCCTTCACAACCATGACTCCAGCTCTCTGTTGCCTGAACATGGAAATAATTAGCTGCACTGCCTCAACAGAATGCCACCAAGCTCTCTTCGTATTAAAGAGGGAACTTTGGAAGGATCTGAGCACCAACTGCACTTGTTTAAAATTAATCAGAGTACTTGATCTGTCTCAAACGAGCAGCTCTGAGCTCGGCATTGGACTATACAGGCAGGCTGCATTAAAAGGCATTTTTTTCTGGGAATGTGTATTAGGAGTCAACAACTAATCAGGAGAAAGCTAAGAGAAATGTGAATTCAGAAATTCTTGTTTTTTAATGTCAGGCTTTTTTATTTGACCGTGTCCCTTAACAATTATACCAGCTTTGCCCCCCCCTCCAGTCAGGCTCATCAAACCAAGGGCAAACACAGAAGGTTGATTTTCTGCCACAGGTGTGGATGCACCTAAGGATTATCGAACCATTACACTGGGTGTGGAGTGTTCACCGTATTGTAACTTGCAAAAGCTCTCTAATTTTAAACTCAGCTCAACGCATTTTGCGGCCCAACACATCAATAAATCTATCACAGGCACTGTAAAAGATAGCTCTGTGATTTGGGGCTGGCTGGAAACTACAGATCCAGCATTTTCCAGTGAAGTCTCCATTGTGTGAATATAATCTGTCGAGCCACAGTTACAGTTGCTTGAATTCTAAGTCCTCTTCCTGTGACAGCATTAGCAAATCCGTTACTCTGTCACTACAGTGACATTTTGGATTCGGGAGGTCGTGTCCAAAAGCTTAGGAACCCAGCTTTCTGGCACTGCCAGTCCATACACACAGTTCAAAGAGACAAATATGTATCCAGAATGCAAAGCTTCAGTGCTCCAAAACACATTAGATCCGCGGGTGAGCCTAAGAGTCTGTCACTCCACAAATACCAAGCTGCATGAACATAGATCAAACTGTTCAGGAGCTACACATCAATAAATGAAAATAGTGGCAAAACAGGTACTGGGTGCAAGAGTTAATATCGGGTTAACCTGAAAAGAGAATGTTCCGATCAGAGTAAAAGAATTCAAGTAATTCAAAAATGTGAAGAATTGAAGGTTATGAAAGGTGTTGGCTTCACATCCCTGGTTGGACACTGCTATTGTACCTCCAAGCAAGGTACTTCACTGAGCTTGTTTCTCAGTGTAAGCTCAAATGGAGTAAAAGTGTTGACATGCCTGCTTTGCAAAATCATTTTCTCAGGCACAATCTATCATCCAATTATATTTCACTTCTGACTAGAAATAATGGACATGTTGCCAGTGCGAATTTGTGTTACTCAACAAATGCAGAAATAATGGAGAAAATGCTCAAAAATAACCATCATGCGAATACAAAAAACAGTAGCAAAAATAGACTAAGATAGTTCAGTTGTTTGGTTACATCCTAATGAATGCTATAAGGGGGAGAATATATTGGAGGTTGTTTGACATACTCGCATAGATGAGGGAATGCCAGCCTGACTGTATGGATGAGGGTGACTGACACTCCCTCGATTTCACAAAGAATGAGCCAGGGAGCTGCTGCAAGGATCTAGATGGGGTGGTGGGAAAGTCGCCAGAGAAATACGCAAAGGAAAGTTCAGAAGCCGACATGCAAAAAGACATGCGAAAACAAATTCCTAATGCAAGAAATTTAATATGGCTAATAAAGTGATCTCTCTCTCTGTAAATACATGTAGGACAGCAGAGTGAGATAAAGATCTAGCATCCTTAGAACAGCAAACTTCTGTTGTTAACTCCATAAATCTCATTTTGCTGTAGCATGTTTTATAGAGCCAAACCCTTCCTGAAATTAAGGTTGCTTCACTCAAGTAGACTATATAAAAGCATCTT